AGCACAGCAAGAGTGGCTTATAGACGACTCTGTGAATGTCCTTGAGTGGCCCAGTCCCATCCTGGGCTTGAACCCAATTAAATATTTCTGGAGAAACCTGAAAATGTGCGTCTGTCCCCATCCAAGCTGACAGAGCTTGAGAGGTGAAGAGGTGAGGAGAAGAATGGCAGATAATTGCCAAATGCAGATGAGCAAATCTTGTCGCATCAAACAAAAAAGACTTGAGGCTGTAAAGGTGCTTCAGCTAAATATTTAGTTAAGGGTATGAATACGCAATGTACTTATTTAAGTTTTTTTATTTTTAATAAATTTACGAGGTTGTGACAATTAATTTTTTGCTTTGTCTATATGGTGTATGGAGTGTAGATTGATATGGGGAAAAAAGTAATTTAAAGCAGTTTTACATAAGGCAGGAACATAACGTGAAAAAAAATGAATACTTTTGCAAGGCACTGCATGATAAAAACTAAAAGTTACATTTGACACAGGACTAAGTCTAAGACTAGATTAAAAATAGCTGACAAAATAAAAATGATTGAGCACCAAATCAGCATATTAGAATGATTTCTGAAGGATCATGTGACACTGAGTAATAGTTGCTGAAAAACAGCTTTGCTGTTACAGGAATATTTTTTACAATTTTAAATATTTTAAAACAGGAAACAGTAAGTTTTAAAATGTACAGTAATTTTATTGTTTTTATCTGTAGTTTTAGAAAATTCAGCTTTAATCGATATAAAATTTGAATTATTCCAAACTTTTCACCAGTAGTGTATTTGTATGTATTTGTTAATTTGTATATATATTTTTTATTTTTTTTAGTCATTTAGCAGGCGCTATTTTTTTAGTCATTTATCCAAAGCGACTTACAAATGAGGACAATAAAAGCAGTCAAAACTAACAAAAGAGCAACGAAATATAAGTGCAAATGACAAGTCTCGGTTAGCTTAACGCAGTACACGTAGCAAGGTGTGTATATACATATACATATACATATACATATATATATATATATATATTATACACACACAAAGAAAAATAAGTAGATAGAATAGAATATATATATATATTATTAGATTTTTTCTTCTAAACGTAAGAAGAGTGGATTTATAAGAAATATATTATATAAAGATATATTATTACATGAAAAGTGCCATTATTTATGAGAAATGTTTAAAATCATGTGATAAAAACCCCTGTCTTATCAGCAGCCCAATAAAAGCTGTTTTATTGCACATGGAACAGGTCGCCTCAAGGGGACCGACATGTTGAGATCACATGACCAGAATAATACTCCTTCCTTTCCTGGACACTTCCGTCTGTGGAAAAAATTAATCATGGCTCACTCTGAGCATTTATACAATGTCATTGGTAACTGAAAACGTTTGCTTTTCCATGATTCAGCATCCACTTGACCGTGTCAAAACAAGGCAAATTCGGCCACATCAGCCAGTGCAATAAACACCTTTAAAAGCTGAAATATGGGCCAAAATATTTTGCTTCTGTTTAGATGTACATGCCAACACTTTATACTTTTTCAGCATTTAGTCAAAAAATAATTTCTGACAGTATCAAACAACATCTTGTTCCCACACATGTGCTAGAACTTTCCATATCCCTATTTGCATTGAAAACACTGACAGTAAAGCTTCTGGGAGCAGGTGCAATACCTGTAGGCATTTTTGGATGCAGGCCGAGGGTCAAACTTCAAGAAGATGATGCACATGAGGAGGTTACTGATGGCAGGAGTTTTCAATCACAGTGAGGTCAGAGGTCAGAGCTGGGACATGCTATGTGCTAGAAGAAGAGATGAAAGAGAGAATGACAGAATGAATTTTGGATAAGCGGAGACAAAAGCTGTGCTTATAAGCCAGAGGACAACCTTGAAAGGCGATCAATCAAACTATTCCAGCAACAGTTCTTACTTGTATTTAACAAAATCTCAATCTGAAGATAAAATAAAATGGTAATCGAATAGAAAGATAGTGCAGCTAATAATATTTCAGACTACATGGTAACAATACAATCATGATCTCCTATTTCTCTTACAAAACATATTGTGCTGAACAGCAATGGAGAGATGAAATACACATTTGTTTTGATGTGAAAGTAATCGATATTGTAGAACATAGTAGAATCCAGCCCCTGTACACTGAAAACATCGTGGCTTATAAACACAGTCACGTCACAAATCATATCCTCCACTTTTTTTTGGCATAATCTGACAGTTAGTGTTCAGATAAATAGCCAGTAGGTAACAATAAGCGTTTTAAGATAATATTATGTGTATAAATGTATTCCATTAGACATAGATTAACTTTAAACGTCGGTCTTTGTTCCCCAGTGTGCTTTATTCATAGAGAATGAGCCAGTAGGTTTAAAGTCAGGCTTATGTCAACTGAGAGAAACCGTCTGTCTGACAGCAGGCTAGCAGTAGCCTCAGCTTGCTAACTGGTCGTATGACTTGAAGACAGCGGACAAAAACGAATACAATTTCGAGCTTGTTTTCTTTTTAGTTTATAACAGTTTATGTGATATATTACTTACAGATCCATCTATTGTCAATGATCACAATTCATTGTGCCGCTACTGTGAGAGGCAACTTAGAACACAGGCTAATACACTGTACAAAGGGCTAAACCTAAACCAACCTCGCATTGACGTCTGCAGAGAAGTCCGGCGCGGATTGGCTGAAACTGGGCCTGAAAGCGAGGACAGGACCGCCCACAGAATTGCAACTGTTCACAAAACAGCTTATTTGGCCTTTCAAACATAATTACATTTAGAAGTTAAAAGAAACTGAACCCAGATCAAAATCCTAATCGCGCGCGCTTGTTGTCACCTGTCAACTGTTGTGAAAAAAAGAAAAGGGAATTGTGAGTTTCTGGACTGTTCTAATTATTATTTATTAATAAATGTGCAAATAATATTCCATATTATTAAATGAATGCATATTGATTCAATAAAGATTATATTCCATTGATAAAAGACAGATATAGACAGATATTATAAATAATATAGCTGTTATATTGGAACAAGAATGCACTTAGTACAATTTTTTGTCATCAATTTGAATTGCAACACACTCGGCGCGTTTCCATTACCCTTCAAATTGCGCAAATTGAAAAAAACTAGGGCTGCACGATAAATCGCATGCGATATTTAACGCGCATCTTGTCAGTAAAGCCGTTCTGTAATCAGCCGTAAATCTCCATCACGTGCGGGTTTTCACATGGAGAAGCATTAACTACACAGAGCCGTTGTTCACCGACAAGCTGCGCAAAACATGCGCAAAATATGATCGTGGTTTGGCGCAGCTTGACAGTGAACAACGGCTCTGTGTAGTAAATGCTGCTCCATGTGAAAGCCCGCAGGTGATGGAGATTTACCGCTGATTACAGAACCGGCTTTACGGACAAGATGCGCGTTAAATATCGCATGCGATTTATCGTGCAGCCCTAGTTTAGCATTAATCATAATGTTATGAATCTGATTATGATGGAAGAGATATTTGTTGACAGTGATTTAACCAATGAAAATGTTGTTTTTCTTCGATCAAAGGTATTCACCAATAAACAGGGGTGTCTTTAATTGTATTTCAAACAATACTGATAATACTCTCAAATAATACTAGCCTACTCTTTATTATATTGCCAATGATATTACAACTGCCTCTCAGGAGTGGTCAAAACATATAGAACAACAAACCAACCTATAGGAGTAAGCTGACCACCCCCTCATTATCATATTGGAAGTAGAAAAAAATAAGCTATTTTTAGATAAGTAATAATTAGTGAAGTAATATAAATATAAATAAATAGTAGTCACGATCTTTTATAACTGCTTTTTATTTTAATGTTTATTAGGACTTGTCTGGGCAAGTGTTTTCTTTGGGGATCATGTTTGATTGAAAATGTACGTTTTGGCACATCCACTGACTGAATCACAGCAGGTCTACATTACTGTAGCGATTTAAAATATGTGTTGCTGCTGGAGTTCATCAGTTGTCTTTTTTCATTTTTACATTTACGTGACATTGTTACCCAGGGTCATTCTAAACCCTAAATAAACGTAACCAGGGTTTTTTCACGCGGTTCACACTTCAACCTGTATTAGTAATTAATCATGGGTAGCCATGTTTGAAAAATTCACACTGTACTGTACATTTGTAAACAGTGGGAGAACGTTCTTATTTGCATATTCATGACGTCAGTAACACTGATTGGACGAAAAAGTTGTGCGAAGTTCACGCACGACGTGCACGCCACTTGTTTTGGTAACGTGCGTTTGGTAAAAATGTGAAATCTAGACGCTGAATCTAAACAGCATTTGGAAGCAACTGTACAGACTACAGAACGCATAAATGTTTAATGAGGTAAGCGCTGTTTAGTTTATGATTGGATGGACTTGCTAAAAACTCACTGTAACCCGGTGTATTTCGCAATGTACAGGCTACTCTTGACACTGCAATTCGATGCTAAACATACTCATGGTATTCGATTCATACCCCAGTGTTACGGCCTTTTCACACCAAGAACGATACAATAATTATAAAAATAAGTATACCAGATGTTGTTGTTTGTAATGCGTAACAGTTAATGTATATAATAAAAGCGCGCTAACGTCATTGGATTGGCTTTCAGTGTTTTTTTTAATCGTTCATCAGCTAAAAAAATCGCTCTGGAAGTGATTCCAACGGTATCGTTCCCTTTTAAAGTGGTTAAGTGCAGTGTGAAAGCTAAAGTACAGTATGAAAACATACCTGGCTGGGGTGAGATGTTATGTAGTGTGATGTGCGTTGTAAATGACATGTAAATCTTATTTACTAGCTGTAATATTTCATTGGCAAGGCTCAGTGTCGTATTGATGACATGTTAACATAATTCTCTGATATATTTAAGTTTCTCTGTTCTTTAAAACTCTCTTACCCCAGCTGAGATGGGGAGCTTGTTAAATTAGGCAGCCCTGTCATTCATGACACATTGAGTAGCTTTGCTCATCAGGAGAATTTCAGCTCTATGCAAAGAGCTACCCTTTGTTCCATTTTATAATTTAAATAAGTTGTACATGTTTTTGAAAACTTTGTTTTAATCTGATTCAAGGATGGATGCCTCTTTAATCAGGAGGAGACTTTGGTGCCTTTATATAGATTCATTCATAAAACAACAAAACAGTGTTGCAAAGCAGGCCGGTGGGGAGCATACTATATGCATTTGTTTTTAGGGATGCACATCGGGCCCGATACTGAGCTCCTGTACTCGCACTCATTAAAATGCCCCGATACCAAACGCCGATACCACACAGCATGTGATAAGTGCCATATTCAGACAAAGAAACACCAACAACAGACAGCAGAATGGAGTTATTAGAGATTAAGGATGTCTACGAAGTATATGTATGCAATGAATATAATGTTAAGCTTTCAGTATTAACGCCTGTATAGCTGATGTGCGTGAGCTGATGAGCAAAGTACGCTGAGTGGATTGAGCGCGCGGCGGTGCAGCTTGTCGAGTGAATATACCTTTCTCACAGACATCACTGGAAACTAAAGTTTGTAGTTCGGTCGGATATGTCAAAAACAAGTAAGTAAAAATGCTGCTGCAATGGAGCAGCTCTAATGCTATTAAATTAAAGATTATGTACCATAGAGCAAAAGATGAACAGTGAAAGCAACAAAAACTTGTAAAATACATTGTAATGGGCATAATTAAGTGTGAAAATAACCGAAGGATATACAGTCAAACCAAAAATTATTCAGAGACCAGATATAATTTTTGGTATTCAGGGCTCTACAGTGCGACCATTTCAGTCGCATTTGCGACTGAAACTACTGCCTGCGACTATAAAAAAATATTTAGGAGGACCAGTGTGGCTGACCAGATCGTCATCATACTTGTGATTGTGATGGCTGAGGGGAGCTTCAAAGGTTTCTACGTGTTTTTGCATGAAATAAATGAACTTTTCCACGACATTCTAATTTATTGAGATGCACCTGTATCTTTTCAGTTCTTTAAATCATTTAATATTTCTATATTCAACATTTTTTAAAACATCTTAACATGAATTTATGGATTTAATTGCACTCATGCCACCTCTGATCCTCATTAAATGTCTGAAAATACACCTACAAGCCAATTTTGTGTTCTTCTGTGCTACCTCTGTACAAATTAATTTTAATACTGATTTCATTTGATTAGTAACTTATTCTTTTTATTCTACTTGTTCTTATTCTATGGTTTTATCTAGAATTTTAAAAAAGCATATAAAATATATATATTTTTAAATTTGACAAAAGATGACTAGTAACTTATTCTTTTTATTCTACTTGTTCTTATTCTATGGTTTTATCTAGAATTTTAAAAAAGCTTATAAAATATATATATTTTTAAATTTGACAAAAGATGACATACATTTAATAAAGATAGAAAAATGCCATTGCAAAGGTAAAAACAAAATTCTACTGTAAATCACTTTAAGGAGTCAAATATCACCTCGTAATGGGAAGGCTATTTTTTGATCAAATTTTGGTGCTCCTAAATTTTTGACTGTGCTCCTAAATTTTTTAAGTTAGGAGCACAAGCGCTCCTAAAAAGAAAAATAAGCGTAGAGCCCTGGTATTTTTTTTACTAGTGGGTGCAGGACACTATAGTTCATTCAAGTGAGGATAGCAAAATAAAGAAAACTGTGACAAATTATACCCAAAAATTCTTCATACAGTAGACTACCAGTTAAACTGATACAAATTTGGGACCAAAAATTATTCAAAAATTTAAGGTCAGGTTTGCATGAACCTTGATGTCAGCATGCCCAGGAGACTACAGGCTGTCATTAAGGCTAAGGGTTGCCCGACTAAGTATTGATAGTTGTGTAAATACTGTCATAGCTGTCTAATTTTTGGTTGATTGTAATCTATTACATACCTTTCTATCAAAGTTATCTGACATTATCAAGCTGAATTTGTTCTGACTCAGTTTAACTCTGAGTTCTTGTTATATTTTATTACCATGTTCTAAACTATAGCGAATAAACTGTGATAATGTGAGAAATGTTGAAGGTGTCTGAATAGATTTTGGTTTGACTGTATCTATTTGATAAATGAAGTTAACCAATTAAATTATACATACTCTTTTGGTTTCTGTACCCAAAATTTTAAAAATGTACAAATGCAATTAAAATATCGGTACTCGGTATCGGCAAGTACCAAAAATAAAAGTATCGGTATCGGGCGAGTACTGGAAAAAGTGGTATCGGTGCATCCCTATTTGTTTTTATTGCTCTTCAGCATTTTGCAGTTCATCACATTGTGATATTGCTTCAGTCAGATGAATGAGAGCTGACAGAGCTGAGCTTGAGTTTGCAAAAAGAGATCGTGCACAGAGAAGACAGAGGATGAGCCTTGGGGGTGTGTTTCCATTTGGCTGGTAGCTCCCTGCAAAGTGGACTTAACATGGTATTCGTCCATCTTAAGTGAGATTTCAAATCATAGGGATTGTATATTGTAATTGTATATTCACAATCCGAAGGGCAGCGTAAAGTTTTTGGTGATCAAGTACACAATACATTACGGCTTTATTGGAAATAGGTATAGAGAATTTTAACTATCAGTAATTTCAGACCACCTAAAGACACAATATGCGCCTAAAATAAACTCAGTGATAAAGAGTTCAGAGTCTGGCATGTTTATTCAGCTTAATTCATACCACGGTCAACTCAGTTTTGGTTTCTAAGCAGTTTTTCATTGGTAT